GGACAACAGATTTCAATATCGATTATATTTCATTTCAATTATATAACCCACAATCATATTTTATGGTGATATACTATAGTAACCATACTACAGTATTTTCACTATACTATAACTTATAATCAATATTTATCAAGTCTGTATATGGCAAATGTAATGTACAGTCTTGTTCAAGATTCTTCGAACACTGCTGGAGACAGCTGGCAACTCAAGGCCGTTACTATAGTACGTAGAATAATAAAATACGAAACAACAAAGCCTAGCCAGTACATTAAGCACCGGGGAACTAAGTAACCAATCACCGATAACTTTTATATTTATTCACAATTTTTACTACGTACTATAGTAAACAAACGGCCTTGAGTTGCCAGGTGTCTCTAGCAGTGTTCGAAGAATCTTGAACAAGACTATACATAAAACTTCTGTATCAGTATATTAAAAGTCTGTAATTTCTTATGTTTCCATTACAGTTTTTCGGAATAATAAATACTGTATTGTGATTATATTTCAGATTAATAATAAAGTGTACAGTAGGTGAAATTATGTAATTAAGCAATATGTAGTGATGTCTTCAACCCACACACACACACACACAGATACACACACACACACACACTATTCGTCATATTCTCCACCAAACATTCCTTATGGACGAAAGCCTCTGACTCCCACCATTTCTCTCCTCTGTCTCTTCCCGGAATTGCACAGCTCAAAGAGGATAATATTCCTGATTAATTAATAGACGTTACCTGGAAATCCCAAACATATATTTCGTTGATAATCTGCTTTAGAAATGTTGCTATGTTGGCAGTGATGGTTGTTGTTAAACAGAGAAGTTGACGACTAACAAGGAAGAGAATTGTTCTATACGCTGAAGGTTAGGCACCCCGGGTTATTTAACATGATGATGTGCTACCTGGTTAGGTTAGGTTAGGCTAGGGTAGGCTAGGTGAGCTTAAATCTGGTTTGGTTACGTTATATTAGATGTCGTAGGGTTACATCTAGTTAGGTTAGTGCAATGACCGTAATAATTATTTTGGGAAGGTCAACTATTTTTGTTTTGTGACTGAATGCAATATTTTTGTTTTTAAATTAAGAAATAAAGTAGGTAAATTCTTGGTTAGTGTTTCACTCTTCCTTCCATTCTCAATTAAATTAATGAAAAACACTAACTCACAGTGCCTGGATTGCTCTGCCAGCTACCTAAAGAACACTACACAAACTGCCCTTGGGTCTGGTGGCAGAAACTTTAAGACGTAAGTTAAATACCCCTAGTACATACCCACAGTGCTAACAAAATGTCACCTGGTGGCCTCCAGGGACCTTCCCAGGGGTGGCGTCGCCCCCGAGGTCCCTCCCAGGGACGGCGCCCCCAGGGACCCTACCAAGGGCGGTGGCGACCCCAGGAACTCTCTCAGAAACAGTGGTACCCCCAGGGCTTCTTCCAGAGGCAGCCTCGCCCCCAGGGACAGTGTCGCGGCGCCTCCCAGGGACCCTACCAAGGGTCCCCATGGGTCCTATGGCATGCTTGTTCGTTGCTTCATATATATTACATGCTTCCAGTAGTCCCTTACTGAACTATGACTGGTGGACTATTCTTTTAACCCGCCAAATTACAGCCAATAGGAGAAGAGAGCAGTCAGTCAACACAACACCACAACTTAAGTTTTCCTGTTGGATATTATTCTCTGCTACCTTCTACAGAATGCGATGATACTGGAAATGTGATGGGCGATGTATTTATTTAACTCAGCATCTCCCAGAGTTCTAAATTGCACAAAAACTATTGCACCCAGAAGCCCTCTCAGGGACGGTGGTGCCTCAGGGACCCTTACAGGGGCTGTGGCGCCCCCAGGGACCCTCCCAAAGGTAGCGGTGCCCCCCAGAGACTTTCTCAGCGGCGGCAGCGCCCCTAGAGGTCCTTGCAGGAATGGTGACGTCCCCAGGGACCCTTTCAGAGACGCCGGGTTCTCCAGGTACCCTCCCAGGAGCGGCTACGCCCCCATTAACCTCCCAGTGATGGCGACGCTCCCAAGGACCCTCTCAGGGAAGGTGGTGGCCCCAGGGACCCTCTCAGGGAACTCGCGCCAAGATAGCCTCCCAGGAGCGGCGGCGAACCCAGCGGCCCTTCCAGGAACTACGGCGCATCAAGGGACCTTCTCAGGGAGGGTGGAGCCCCCATGGCTCCCTCCCAGGGTCGGCAACATCACCAGGGATTACCCAGGGACACTCCTAAGGGTGGCAGGATCCCCAGAGTCTTTCCCAGGGGGCGTCGGCTCCCCCATAGACACTCCCAGGGACAGTGGCGCCCCCAAAAACTATCCCAGGAATGATGGCGTTCCTAGGGGCCCACTCAGGGACGGCAGCGCTCCCAGGGACTCTCCCAGACGCGGTGGCGCCACCATGGACACTTTCAGGTACAGCAGCGCCCCCAGGAACTTATGTTTTCCTGTTGGATATTATTCTCTGCTACCTTCTTCAGAATGCGATGATACTGGAAATGTTATGGGCCGTGTATTTATTTAAAGTTGCATCTCCCAGAGTTCTAAATAGCGCAAAAACTACTGCACTCAGGGGACCTACAGGTCTGGTTCTCCCAGAGGATCTCTTATGGAGGGGCGGCGCCCCAGGTACCCTCACAGGGGTAATGGCTCCCCCAAGAAACATCCCAGAGGTGGTGACGTTCTTAGGAGCGCTCTCAGGAGCGGCGGTGCAGCCAGGGAACCTTCCATAAGCAGTGGCGCCCATATGGACACTCCCAGCGACAACGGCTCCCCCAGGGACCCTCGCAGTGCCCCTGCAGCACCCCCAAGGACCCTCCTACAAACGGCGGCACCCCCAGGGACCCTCCTTGTGACGAAGCCCCCCCGCAGACCCTACCAAGGATCCCAAGGGACTCTATGGCATACTTGTTCGTTGTTTCGTATATATTACATAATTCCAGCAGTCCCTTACTGAACCATGATTGGTGGACTATTCTTTTAACCCACAAAATTACAGTCAATACGAGAAGAGAGCAGTCAGTCAGCACAACACCTCAACTTATGTTTTCCTGTTGGATATACTTCTGCGTTACCTTCTTCAGAATGCGATGATACTGGAAATGTGATGGACGGAGTATTGATTTAACGTTGCATCTCTCAGAAATCTAAATAGCGCAAAAACTACTGCATATAGTGGCTTACAGGTTTGGTGCTCCCAGAGGCTCTCTCAATGACGGCAGCGCTCCAGTGTCCATCACAGGCGCAGCAGCGCCCCCAAAAAACATCCCAGGGGTGGTGACGTTATTAGGGGACCACTCAGAGTCGGCAGCGCCCGTAGGGACCCTTCCAGAGGCGGTGGTGCCACAATGGACACTCCCAGAGAGAGCGGCGCCCCCGGGGAAGTTCGCAGTGTCCCTCCCAGGAGCGACGGCTTCCCCAAGGACCCTCCCATGGACGGCAGCGCCCCCACGGACTCTCCTTGGGGCGAGGCCCCCCAGGGACCCTATGGCATGCTTGTTTATTGTTTCATATATATTACATACTTCCAGCAGTCCCTTACTGAACTATGATTGGTGGACTATTGTTTTAACCCACAAAATTACAGCCAATAGGAAAATAGAGCAGTCAGTCAACACAACACCTCAACTTATGTTTTCCTGTTGGATGTTTTTCTCTGCTACCTTCTTCAGAATGCGATAATATTGGAAATGTTATGGGCTGTGTATTTATTTAAAGTTGCATCTCCCGGAGTTCTAAATAGCGCAAAAACTACTGCACTCAGGGGACATACAAGTCTGGTTCTCCCAGAGGCTATCTTATGGACGGCGGTGTCCCAGGGACCCTCACAGGGGTAACGGCGCCCCAAGGAAACATCTCAGGGGTGGAGGCGTTCTTAGGGGCCCTCTCAGCGGCGATGGTGCCGCCAGGGACCCTCCCTTAAGCAGTGGCGCCCATACGGATACTCCCAGCGACAACGGCTCCCTCAGGGACCCTCGCACTGCCCCTGCAGCGCCCCCAAGGACCCTCCCATGGACGGGGGCACCCCCAGGGACCCTCCTTGAGGCGAAGCCCCCACGGACCCTACCAAGGATCCCAAGGGACCGTATGGCATGCTTGTTTGTTATTTCATATATATTACATACTTCCAGCAGTCCCCTACTGAACTATGATTGGTGGACTATTCTTTTAACCCACAAAATTACAGCCAATAGGAGAAGAGAGCAGTCAGTCAGCACAACACCTCAACTTATGTTTTCCTGTTGGATATTATTCTGCATTACCTTCTTCAGAATGTGATGATACATGAAATGTGATGGGCGGTGTATTCATTTAACGTTGCATCACTCAGAACTCTAAATAGCGCTAAAACTACTGCATATAGGGGCCTACAGGTTTGGTGCTCCCAGAGGCTCTCTTAATGACGGCGGTGCCCCAGTGTCCCTCACAGGGGCAGCGGCGCCCACACAAAAAAACCCAGGGGTGGTGGCATTCTTAGGGGCCCACTCAGGATCGGCGGCGCCCCTAGGGACCCTTCCAGAGGCGGTGGTGCCCCCATGGACACTCCCAGAGACAGCAGCGTCCCCAGGGACTTTCGCAGTGCCACTCCCAGGGGCGACGGCGTCCCCAAGGACCCTCCCACGGACGGCAGCGCCCCCACGGACTCTCCTTGGGGCGAGGCCCCCCCAGGGACCCTATGGCATGCTTGTTCGTTGTTTCATATATATTACATACTTCCAGCAGTCCCTTACTAACTATGATTGGTGGACTATTCTTTTAACCCACATTACAGCCAATAGGAGAAGAGAGCAGTCAGTCAACACAACACCTCAACTTATGTTTTCCTGTTGGATATTATTCTCCGTTACATTCATCAGAATGCGATGATCCAGGAAATGTTATGGGCGGTGTATTTATTCAACGTTTGATCTTCCAGATTTCAAAATAGCGCAAACACTACTGCACCCCGGGGCTCTACAGGTCTGGCGCTCCCAGGGGCCGCCTAAGTGATGGCAGCGCCCCAGTTACCCTCACAGGGGCAGTGGACACAAAATGACCCTCCCAATGGCGGCGGTGCCCTCAGGGATTTTCTCAAAGGCGACGTCGCAACTACGGGTCCTCCCAGGAATAGTGGCATTCCCAGGGACCCTTTCAGAGACGACGGATTCCCAGAGGACCCTCCCAGGGGCATCGGCATCCCATGGACTCTCCCAGGGACGGCGGCGCCCCAAGGAACCATCAAAGGGGTGGTGGCATTCCCACTCAGGGGAGGAGCTGCCCCCTCGGGACCCTCCCAGAATCGGTAGCGACCCAATGCACACTCCCAAGGACAGCGGCGCCTCCAGGGACTCTCGCAGTACCCCTCCCAGAAGCAGGAGTGCCCCCAAGGACCATTCCACGGACGGGGGCGCTCCCAGGGACCCTCCTTGGGGCGGATCCCCCCAGGGACCCTACCAAGAGTTCCAAGAGACCCTTTGGCATGCTTTGTTCATAGATTTGTCTTACATTTTGCATTCATCCAGTAATCCCTTACTTAACTGTGATTGGTGGAGCAAGATATAACGTCATCAAATTACAGCCAATAGGAGAACAGAGCAACCAGTCAGCACAACACCCCAACTTATGCTTTGCTGTTGGATATTTATTTTCGTTTCACTATTTTAAACTCTGGGAGATTGACGTTAAATAAATAGACACTGCCCATAGCATTTTCAGTATTTTCGCAACCTGAACAATGAAAAGGAGAATAAATATCCAACAGCAAAACATAAGTTGGGGTGTTGTGCTGACTGATTCCTCTGTTTTCCTATTGGCTGTAATTTGATGACGTTACATCTTATTCCACCAATTACAGTTATGTAAGAGATTACTGGAAGAATGCAATATATACTACACCACTATCCAATGTATTGGGGCACTGCCTTCCCTAGGAGGACCTATTGTGAGCCACAGGCTTTGGCAGGATCCCTGGGAGCAGTGGCGCCCCATAAAGAGGCCTGGGGGAGCCACCGCCTCTGGAAGGGCCCCTGAAGGCGCCACCGCCGCTGGCAGGGCCTCTGGGAGCACCACGGTCCCTAGGAACGTACCTATAGGCGCCTCTGTCCCAAGAAAGGCCCCAGGGATCAAGGCTGTCCCTGTGAGGGTCCCTAGGGTCGCTAGCGCCCCTGGGGTAGCGAGCGCCCATAGCAGGGCCCATGGGGGCGCCGCCGTCCCTGTGAGGGTCCCTAGGAGTGTTGCCGTCCCTGCGAGGGTCCCTTGTAGCGTTGCCATCCCTCAGAGGCCCATGGAAGCTCGACTGTTCCTGGAGGAGCCCCTGTCGACGCCGCCTTCCCTGAGAAGGCCTCTAGGATTGCGGTTGTCCCTAAGAGCGCCCCTGGTGGATCCAGCGCCCCTGACAGGTCCCCTGGGACCACCGCCGACCCTGAGAGGGCCCTCGGGACGCCTCCGTGCCTTGCATGGCCAAGTGACCCTCACAGGGATAGCGCCGATCCCAGTGACCCTTGCAAGGACGGGGGCGCCTTGAGGGGTGTTCCCAGGGATGGCGGCGCCCCCAGGGGCCATACCACAGAGTTGGCGCATTCAGTGGCCCTTCCAGAGGCGGTGTATCACCCAGGGTCCCTTTATGGGGCGCCTCTGCCCAAAATGACCCTGAAAATGGCTGCAGCGCCCCTATGGGCCCTCATAGGCCCCTCAGCGCTGATATGGGCCCTCCTAGTCATAGTTGGTGCCTTTCCAGGGGCGTCAGGGTCTCCACCAGGGGCAACGGCGCCCCCAGGGGCCCTTCCACAAGCAGCATCGCCCTAAGAACTTCATAGTTTTGTCTTACATTTTGCATTCGTCCAGTAATCCCTTACTTAACTGTGATTGGTGGAGCAAGATGTAACGTCATCAAATTACAGCCAATAGGAGAACAGAGCAATCAGTCAGCACAACACCCCAACTTATGCTTTGCTGTTGGATATTTATTTTCGTTTCACTATTTAAACTCTGGGAGATATGACGTTAAATAAATAGACACTGCCCATAGCATTTTCAGTATTTTCGCAACCTGAACAATGAAAAGGAGAATAAATATCCAACAGCAAAACATAAGTTGGGGTGTTGTGCTGACTGATTGCTCTGTTTTCCTATGGGCTGTAATTTGATGATGTGACCTCTTCATTCCACCAATTACAGTTAAGTAAGAGATTACTTGAAGAATGCAATATGTACGACACCACTATCCATTGTTTTGGGGCGCCGCCTCCCCTAGGAGGACCTATTGTGAGCCACAGGCCTTGGCAGGGTCCCTGGGAGCAGTGGCGCCCCATAAAGAGGCCTGGGGGAGCCACCGCCTCTGGAAGGGCCCCTGAAGGCGCCACCGCCGCTGGTAGGGCCTCTGGGAGCACCACGGTCCCTAGGAACGTACTTAGAGGCGCCTCTGTCCCAGGGAAGGCCCCAGGGATCAAGGCTGTCCCTGTGAGGGTCCCTAGCGCCCCTGGGGTAGCTAGTGCCCATAGCAGGGCCCATGGGGGCGCCGCCGTCCCAGTGAGGGTCCTTAGGAGTGTTGCCGTCCCTGCGAGGGTCGCTTGGAACGTTGCCATCCCTCAGAGGCCCATGGAAGCTCGGCTGTTCCTGGAGGAGCCCCTGTCGACGCCGCCTTCCCTGAGAAGGCCTCTAGGATTGCGGTTGTCCCTAAGAGCGCCCCTGGTGGATCCAGCGCCCCTGACAGGTCCCCTGGGGCACCGCCGACCCTGAGAGGGCCCTCGGGACGCCTCCGTGCCTTGCATGGCCAAGTGACCCTCACAGGGATAGCGGCGATCCCAGTGACCCTTACAGGGACGGGGGCGCCTTGAGGGGTGTTCCCAGGGACGGCGGCGCCCCCAGGGGCCATACCACAGAGTTGGCGCATTCAGTGGCCCTTCCAGAGGCGGTTTCTCACCCAGGGTCCCTTTATGGGGCGCCTCTGCCCCAAATGACCCTGCCAAGGGCTGCAGCGCCCCTATGGGCCCTCCTAGGGCCCTCAGCGCTGGTATGGGCCCTCCTATTCATAGTGGGTGCCTTTCCAGGGGCGTCAGGTCTCCACCAGGGGCGACGGCGCCCCCAGGGGCCCTTCCACAAGCAGCATCGCCCTAAGAACTTCATAGTTTTGTCTTACATTTTGCATTCATCCAGTAATCCCTTACTTAACTGTGATTGGTGGAGCAAGATATAACGTCATCAAATTACAGCCAATAGGAGAACAGAGCAACCAGTCAGCACAACACCCCAACTTATGCTTTGCTGTTGGATATTTATTTTCGTTTCACTATTTTTAACTCTGGGAGATATGACGTTAAATAAATAGACACTGCCCCATAGCATTTTAGTATTTTCGCAACCTGAACAATGAAAAGGAGAATAAATATCCAACAGCAAAACATAAGTTGGGGTGTTGTGCTGACTGATTCCTCTGTTTTCCTATTGGCTGTAATTTGATGACGTTACATCTTATTCCACCAATTACAGTTATGTAAGAAATTACTGGAAGAATGCAATAAATACTACACCACTATCCAATGTATTGGGGCACTGCCTTCCCTAGGAGGACCTATTGTGAGCCAAAGGCTTTGGCAGGATCCCTGGCAGCAGTTGCGCCCCATAAAGAGGCCTGGGGGAGCCACCGCCTCTGGAAGGGCCCCTGAAGGCGCCTCCGCCGCTGGCAGGGCCTCTGGGAGCACCACGGTCCCTAGGAACGTACCTATAGGCGCCGCTGTCCCAGCGAAGGCCCCAGGGATCAAGGCTGTCCCTGTGAGGGTCCCTAGGGTCGCTAGCGCCCCTGGGGTAGCGAGCGCCCATAGCAGGGCCCATGGGGGCGCCGCCGTCCCTGTGAGGGACCCTAGGAGTGTTGCCGTCCCTGCGAGGGTCCCTTGTAGCTTTGCCATCCCTCAGAGGCCCATGGAAGCTCGGCTGTTCCTGGAGGAGCCCCTGTCGACGCCGCCTTCCCTGAGAAGGCCTCTAGGATTGCGGTTGTCCGTAAGAGCGCCCCTGGTGGATCCAGCGCCCCTGACAGGTCCCCTGGGGCTACCGCCGACCCTGAGAGGGCCCTCGGGACGCCTCCATGCCTTGCATGGCCAAGTGACCCTCACAGGGATAGCGGCGATCCCAGTGACCCTTACAGGGACGGGGGCGCCTTGAGGGGTGTTCCCAGGGACGGCGGCGCATTCAGTGGCCCTTCCAGAGGCGGTGTCTCACCCAGGGACCCTTTATGGGGCGCCTCTGCCCCAAATGACCCTGCCAAGGGCTGCAGCGCCCCTATGGGCCCTCCTAGGGCCCTCAGCGCTGGTATGGGCCCTCCTAGTCATAGTTGGTGCCTTTCCAGGGGCGTCATGCGACGGCGCCCCCAGGGGCCCTTCCACAAGCAGCATCGCCCTAAGAACTTCATAGTTTTGTCTAACATTTTGCATTCGTCCAGTAATCCCTTACTTAACTGTGATTGGTGGAGCAAGATGTAACGTCATCAAATTACAGCCAATAGGAGAACAGAGCAACCAGTCAGCACAACACCCCAACTTATGCTTTGCTGTTGGATATTTATTTTCGTTTCATTATTTTAAACTCTGGGAGATATGACGTTAAATAAATAGACACTGCCCATAGCATTTTCAGTATTTTCGCAACCTGAACAATGAAAAGGAGAATAAATATCCAACAGCAAAACATAAGTTGGGGTGTTGTGCTGACTGATTCCTCTGTTTTCCTATTGGCTGGATTTGATGACGTTACATCTTATTCCACCAATTACAGTTATGTAAGAGATTACTGGAAGAATGCAATATATACTACACCACTATCCAATGTATTGGGGCACTGCCTTCCCTAGGAGGACCTATTGTGAGCCACAGGCTTTGGCAGGATCCCTGGGAGCAGTGGCGCCCCATAAAGAGGCCTGGGGGAGCCACCGCCTCTGGAAGGGCCCCTGAAGGCGCCACTGCCGCTGGCAGGGCCTCTGGGAGCACCACGGTCCCTAGGAACGTACCTATAGGCGCCTC